AAGACAATCAGTGATTGAACAACACCATGTGAAAACATTGGTTGTGCTTTAAACCTAAAGGCAATAAATACAATGTAAGAAACTGGATCAAGTGTCAATGCACTGTCTTCATTTGTTTCTGCAGAGCACGGAGCTTCTGGCTATCAGGATACAATAGGAAGCTGACAACACAAGGAAAACATTGGGAGTGCTGGGAAATGCACATACTGTAGTGCCGTCAGCCAGCAACAGTAATTACAGACTGGATTGAAGAAAACCAGGAAGGAACCCTCTGTAGACCTGATAAGCAGGCAGCTTGCCTCTGAAAACATTGCACTCATGTGGACTTCAGCCTGTGGGCTCTGCCCTCCACCAGGCCCCAAAGCTCCACAGTATTATCTCAGCTCTCAGAAATCTGGCTGCGTGTTCAGGCAGCATTGCCAAAACAAAGGAAGATTTGTCATGAGATAGGTAGAAAGACTGACAGATCACAGTATACATCAGTCAACTTCAGAGGGGGAAAGGTCTAAATTCACTCAAACGGGAGCAGACTTGTGAAGCTTCGGGGCTGCTTTCTGGAGGCCCATTTGACCTGCAAGGCGTGTTCTCCACATGGCTCTATCAGAAAATAATTTATCAAGAGTCGCACTGACACCAACAATTTACAGGAGCAATTATTACATCTACCTACACGTTATTAGAAGTCCCTACAGTCTCCTTAATAAACCAATAAACGGACTCACGACAACCTAACATTACACATCTGTGAACTTGGACCACTCACACCACAGAGAGGCACATTAAAGGTTTGGACAGCCGTGTATCACTGCCTGGCAGGAACAGCAGCTTCTGTACGCCAGCAATCATGAAAGCTAGTCTTGGAATAGACAAGTGTCATGTTGCAAAAGAAAACAGCACATGATACGAAAGGACATCGTCACAAGCAAAAACATGTAAACAAGAGACTCTGTAAACTAGATTAGCGCCAGAAAAACCCACAAAATTGCACAAAGTTCAACCCAATAAGAGTCAGAGTTTGGTACCATCAGGCTAACGCTTCAGGTGATGCACCGCACCGCAGTAAAATTACTACAGCTGTGTCGGTCCTTCAGTGGCTCCAGCTTAACTGTGTTTATATGCGATATGTGCCAATGTTGCAATGTAGAAATGGGGAAGCAGAAATGTGTTTGTTTGCTGTCCTATTTTAAGCTGACCTGAAGTGGCAGAGATGACTCCTACGAGTCAAATGGGAACTTTAACCATAGCGCAGATGATTAAGCAGCAGACCACACGGAACGACGGGCCGCACCTATCTCCCAGAGCTCCTGTCTCTTTTAGTGTAGCTGATGCCTGGACACATGTGCCTGTTTTTTATGCTGTGGAACAAGGAAGGAAACATATTGCAGAGAGGAAGGAGAAAGTTTACAACACCTCCCTGGCAATGATGACTACAAGCTTCCACTCTGGGTCAGTGTTTCAGGCTGTTGTCATTGTTTTTACTGTACCTCACATATTTTTAACAATTCAGTTCACAAAGACATTCAGTGATTTTAATACTCGACAAGCTCACAAGTAGATGTCTTGATGACTGTAACCATCTAACCTAATCCTAACCAAGCAACAAACACTGTTTCAGAGGCAGAACTGGGTCGAAACACCATGAACTGTGAAATGTATTAGCACAATCACGACCTTCACAATCATTAATATGATTCAAAAGTCCCACAGTTTCACCAATCATTAATACTAAAAAAAGGAACGAAACGATTTTTTAAAAAAGGAATGGAGGAAAGCCATCCACTGTGGCAACTCGTTAAGGGAGCAGGGGGCAAATTTCCCTTCAACTCAACCTGACTTCATATTTTTCACCTGGATGCCTGCACACCACCTGCAAGATAAGCCCCTGTTGCACAGATCTAGAAACTGCTCACCAACCCTGTTCCACCCGAAAGATCCTTGCGGCCTCTATCAAACCTTGACCATGACCCTGATCAGGTGACCCTGAATCCTCCCTTAGTTCGCTGCAATAGGCCTAGGCTGCCAGGGGCTTCCCACAGTGCACTAAATGTTTCGTGTTCACTCACCTTCTTCACCCACTATGTGCTTCACACCACTTTTTATTTAATTATTAGTTATTAATCTCTCTTCCAGAGCAGGTTTTTTGTGCTGTCTTCCTTCCCTCAGCCCAACCTGTCATCGCAGATAGCTGGCCCTCGGTGAGCCTGGCTTTTCCTGTTAAAGGGAATTTTTCTTCCCACAGTCTAGCATTCACACACTTACACTCCAGTAGATACATCTTGCCCAAGAATACTTTGGCATGCGGAGCTGAGGAATCAAGGATTGAACCACCAGCCTTCTGATCACCGAGCATGAGCCACAGCTCAGGCCAGTGGATTTAAACCCAGGCTCTTCTTACTGTGAGGTGATTACTAGCGCTTACTAGTGTTGACCATCACACAACCATGCCACCCACTGTGCGTATATAAATTGACCTGTTTTGTCAGGCAAAGGTCTTAAAACCCTGATAACTATCCTGAAACTAAAGATAGACTTTGGTCTATTAAATAACGTTTCTTTTAGATCCTTCATAAGGACCATAAAACTGTAGTTCCTCAGTTGGCACCATGAGTCAAGGGGGCTGTGCAGCTTTCTGCACTCACTGAACCTCCAGGGACTGTTGTTAGGTTAAACTCCAGTAAAGCTGGTAAATGCCAACTAAAAATGAAATGCTGCCATGGGAATTTGCAATGTAAGCTACTGAACCCTGTCACACTCATTTTTCCAACAGTAAAGTGGCAGTTTACAAATGGGGACGTTTGTATGCTTCTGTTTCACCAGTCAGTTTATCGCACTGGTTCCTCATGTGTTACAATGGTTCAAGAATCTGACGTACAGCCCCTATTGCTGCTTGATGTTTGTGTATTCTTTCAGATGTACAGTACACTTCAGTGCTAAAAGGAGACAACCAGGAATCACAGATGAATCTGTCATAGCTCACCATGTTTGGCACACGAGCGTCAAAGCCACTGAGACAAGAATATACAGTTTACTGTGACTTCCAACGCATTTTACATCATAATGCATGAAGCCAAAAAAAGGGTAAATGAAGGGGGAATTCGAGCGAGAGGAGAATTCTGCGGTCGCACTTCGATGTTGATGCAGAAAGAGGTTGTTTACTATAAAATATAAAGTCCAGCAGGGATTAAAACAAAACAAAAACAAAAAACACTCTTTCCATGCTGGAGAATAATCTTTCATTCTGTCTGTGAAGGTTCTCAGTCATCCAGGTCATCGTAGTCAAAGGAGCTTGCAAAGAAAAGCGTCTGGACTTCTTTAAGTTGCTTGAAGACGTTTCACCTCTCATCCGAGAAGCTTCTTCAGTTCTAAGGTCAAATGGTGGAGAGTCCCAGATATAAACCTAGTGGGAGTAACCCCCCACACAGGGACAACAGGACCCCCTGATGATCCTCTAATCGCCTGAGCCAAGGTGTGAAACTGGGTGTGGGTCCCAATCAGCCAGAGTCTCGGGTGAGTTCATTTTGAAACCTGGCCCCACCTTATCATGCGAATTCCTGAGGTCAGATGGCCCAGGATGTGAGTGGGCGTTAAGGCGTCTGGGGAGAGATCTCAGAAGTGGATTATAGATGGCAGAGAGTTGGTGTCGTAAACCCCCGCCTCTGTTCAAAGATGGTCGCTCACAGTGGACATAGATGGCTTCTTTCACTCCTCTTTCAAACCATCTGTCCTCTCTGTCCAAAATGTGAACATTGGCATCCTCGAAAGAGTGTCCTTTATCCTTAAGAAAGATGCAGATGGACTGCTGAGTCTTGTCCTGTGGAGGTGGCTCTTCTGTGTTGTGCCATGCACTTGTGAAGTGGCTGTTTGCTCTCTCCAATGTAGAGGTTTGGGCATTCCTCGCTGCACTGTACAGCACTGTACAGCAATCTTTCATTCTCACAGTTCGATGGGCAAACCTAAGCTGTATCTAAACTTCACATTCTTAAACTACACAGGAAATGATTGCTCACACAGCACTAGGAAGGAGCGCTACTGCTATTTGTATGACTCTTTAGAGCTTCCAGAAAACTGTGTCTCATGAATCATCTCCCAAGCCATATGAAACATAGCAGCCGGCGAGCTCGTGCAGTATGTTGAAACACATGGAAGAAGGATAAACAAATTAGTCCAGGCTGAAGGGCTTTTTCCTGCTTCATCAGGAAGACCTGCTAGATGCAAGGTCCAGCTGTGTATTAACTTGTAGTTACACTGCAAAACATTAACAGGTGGCTTCTGCCTCTCATTGAGCTTCTTTTTAGTAGCCGGCCTGTAAAGGCTGCCAACACCACACCTTTCTTTATTATGCAACGTATGTCGGTGTGTAGCTCAAAATAAATAAAGTCTGAGGTGGTATTTAGAGTCTAGAAGCCACTGAGTAGGTGGTTGTGAGAGGAAGAGTTAACTAACCAGCAGCTTTACCTTTTTGAACTTCGATGCATAGAAAATATCTCATTCCGGGTTTTAAATAAAGGTCCCTGGAGTCATGTTTGACAGGCTGGCACACTACACACGATTTATGGCTTACAGCAGCACAACAGCACCAAAAACAAACAAAACTAAACTAAAGTAGGCTGGGCGAAGTGCAGATAACATTTTTTGTTATCAGAGAATAGGAACGAGCCTCTGTCAGATGTCTGACTGCTCTCAGGCAGCCTTCAACCGGGAAGCGATATGATCACGCTTCAGTTTTTGGCACCAGTTCAGAAAGCTCCAACGACATGAGAAACAGTGATCGTGGATAAATCAGTAAACAAACGAAACAGCATACAAAGTAATGACTGGAGTGAATCCTGGATTTCTCGCTAACAGCGTGCCTGTCATTCATTCCCGGTGTAATAACTGCTAACTTTGATCGCGTTGCTTAACAGGATCAAAAACTTCTATCAGGTGTCTCACGGTCACACCTCCCACAGCTGGCACTAATGACATCAGAAACGTACACAGCGTGAAAGAGCAGAACTTACCTTGTGCGCCTTTCTGCCTGAGCCTTCGGTTAATCGAGCTGCGGGACTGCTGTGGAAAGTAAAGTGCGTCCTCAGTCAGACTGACAGGCAGTAGTTTCTGTGCAGCTGCGTCCAGCGATTAAGGGGCGGTGCTCTAACGTGGGACACATCCCACGTGGGCACAGCGCCTGTGGCTGCTGTTTAATCCACACTTTCTCAGGGAAGGGCACCGCTCCGCCGACCACCTGCTGTCTGCGCAGAAAGCAGGTGAGAGCTGCCCGCACAACACACTGGATCCACCCCTGAATATTAAAGGATTACCAACGTAAATAAATACTTCAAATCAAAAATACTTTTATTTAAAAAGATTTTTAAGTCATTATTACTGAGGAAGATCCAAATACACTAACTAAACACATCTAACTAAATCTGTAAATATCAAAAAAGTTATTCGGGTGGAAGACGAGACTACGAGGCGCCAGAAACTCCACTTAGTCAACACTGGGTCATGTTTTGCAGCTTGTCAGCAGGAAATGTACAAAACCACAGCACCGTGGACAAAACCTGTGAGCAAACCATTTGAAAAAAGGCTTAAAATAGGCGGCAAGGACGGATATAGGTTTATTTTTAAAGTGCGTTGCGCCATCTTGTGGCCTGTTTTTGAAATAGAAAGAAAACTACCACGTCTCACGCTTCTGTTTGAGCGGGTTTCCACTGGTACGCTGGACCGGTGAACACCGGGGTTGGTTGACAGGTTGCTTGTTACTGCCACATCAGTGTGCAGTGTGGATTTCTGTCACACATATATCACACATTTGACCTGACAATAAGCCCATTTTGCAGTTCTGTTTGTGGAAAACTTCTCAAATTCAAATTTTATTTGTCACGTACACAGTCATACACAGTACGATATGTAGTGAAATGCTTGGACAACTGCTCGTGACCTAAAGAAAACAAAAAAGGAAAAGGCTATGAATAAGATAGGAAATAAATATGAAAAATTAAAAAGGGTAAATTTAACTAGGAAGGAA